GGCCCCGTGGATCTTCCCTCGAGGATTCGAGGATGGAGGCTGTGAGGATCGAGGTTCGAGGGTCGAGGCTCGAGGATCGAGTCTCGAGGTTCGTGGTTCAAGGATCGAGGATCGAGGGTCGAGGATCCAGGCCCGAGGGCCGAGGCTCGAGAATCGAGGCTCGAGGCTCAGGTTCGAGTATCGAGAGCCCTGCGGCCTGGGCCTCCCCGGGGGCCTCGGGTCGCCGCGGCAACGTTCCCCGCGGGGGGCTCGGGCGCCAGAGCTCGCCGACCGCAGGGGGCCGGGAGGGGCTCCGTCCGGACGGAGGCCGAGCACTCCGCATGGACCTGCGTGCTCCGTGTGGACTTGCCCTGAGATCCATGCGACTCCATTCTTTGGAGCCAGACGTTTTCGCCCACCCGGGACCCTCGCAGATGCATCCCGCTCGCAAAGTGGTGCAGAAAGATGGGGCCCAGGGCTCCAGTCGTGATTTCTCACGATGTTTCAACTTTTCGAGACGTCCTCATAGGAAGGATAAGCGACTTTCTAAGGCTGTCCTCGCATCCTTGTACCTTCGGCCCATCCTTGGCCGCTTGCGCTGGCCGCGCCCCGCCCGCAGAGTGTCGACATGGCCTCCCAAGGCCCTTGCATCCTTATCGTGGAGAGAGCGTGATCCACCGCCGCTTTACTGCGGAAAATTGCCAACCTTTTCCTCCGGAACCCGGGGGTCCCCCCCCCCACTCCGAAATCCCCCCCCGCTGGAACCCTCCCCCCCCCCCCTCCCCGGCAAAACCCCCCTCCCATAACCCTCCCCCCCCCCTCCCGCTCGAAAACGAGGGGTCACTACCAGTTCGAAACCCCCCCCCCCTCCAGATCAGAAAACCGGGGGGGTCACTACCGGTTCGAAACCCCCCCCCCCCCCCCCCCTACTCACCGCCAGCAAACGACTCCCGGTCCCCACCACCGTCCGCATCACATCCCCACTGGTGTTCCCAGCACCACTGTCCTCACCACCGCTGTCCCCACTGGTTCCACCACCGCCCCTACTGTCCCCACCAGTGGCCCCACCACTGTCGCACTGTCCCCGCTGTCCCCAGAACTGTTCCCACCACGGTTCCACTCTCCCCACTGTCTCCACGGCCCCAACCACTGCCCGACTATCCCCACTGTCCCCACTGTCCCACTGACTCCTCCGCTGTCCCACTGAGCTGTCCCACTGTTCCCACACTGTCCCCACTGTCCCCACCACTGTCCCCACTGTACCTCTGTCCCATTGTCCCACCGCCGTCCTCGCCACCGCCTTCACCACTGTCCCCACCACCATTGTACCCTCCACTGTCCCACTGTTTCCACCTCGTTCCCATTGTCCCCGCACCGCTGTCCCCACCACCACCGTCACCACCACTGTCCACTGTCCCCCCCTGTTCCCACCATTGTCCCCACCATTGTCCCCACCACTACCGTCCCCACCACTGTCCCACTGTCCCACTGTCCCCACCACTGTCCCGCTATCCCCTCACCACTGTCCCCACCAACACCGTCCCCACCACTGTCCGCACCCCCACTCGGTTTTCGAGGGGGGGGGGTTCGAACCGGCAGTGACCCCCCCCGGTTTTCCGGATCCGGAGGGGGGGGGGGGTTCGAACCGGTAGTGACCCCCCCCCCTTTTCATGATGAGCAGGGGGGGGGGGGAGGTTGAACGGTAGTGACCCCCCCCGGTTTTTCCGGAGGGGCGGGAGGGGGGGGAGGGGTTCGACCGGTTAAAGTCGTAGTTTAGTAGGTTTTTAGTAGTTTTTTGCTAGATAGTTTGGTATAGTTAGTTAGAGTTTATTAGTTAGTGAGTTCAGTAGATTTAGTTTCGAGTTTTTAAGTAGTTATCTTAGTAGTGAGAGTGACCCCCCCCGGTTTTCCGCCAGCAGCGGTAGAACACGCTCTTTCTTATCGTGGGTTCCTATTATGGGTTGACTGTCATGTCAGGACGAACGATGATTGGAACGCAATGCGGACACTTTGCAGGTGGGGCGCGGCCAGCGAAAGCGGCCAAGGATGGGCCGAAGGGGAAGGATACAAGGATACCCTTGGAAAGAGGCTCAGTCCAGACGGGAACCGAGCACTCCGTCTGGACCTAAGTACTCTGGCAGAAGGGAAGACTCGAGCATGCCGGAACTAGGGCTCGCCTACGTTTTCTGACGAGCCCGCGCTGGGTTTTGACGGTCCAGTTTTCGTGGGATGTCTGCAGCAGGAGCTCGCTTCAAATTTCAGATTGGGTCTCGTCATTTTCATGATGGCCCCGTCACGCCAAACCGAGTCCCTCGAACCCGAGTCTTACGTCTCCTCGAACTTAGTCTTCGATCAGGAGAGGCTAAGTCCAGTCGGAGTAAGCCCAGACAGAGACCGAGCACGCCGTATGGACTTACTCAGTATGTGCACTCAGCCTCTCCTGGAAAGGGTACGATTGCGCCAGGGTGTGGTTTGCTCGGCCGGATGGCGATGGGGGGATCAGGACATGGGGGGATGAGTA